GGGGCATCATTGTGCTCCTGCACATTGCCCACGCTCCAAGACCAGGCGGCGGTGTCGTACAGGAATTTCAGCACCGGGTAGCTATTCCAAAACGTGCTGCTGACGAGAGGCAAACGGGAAATACGGCGTAAAAACATCTCCCTCGCATTCGCTTCCCTGTTAACTGTCGTAACCGCTCGAAAAAATTCCTCCTTGAGTGTCATCGCGGCAAGCGTAACCACTCTCTCCAATGTACGATCTCCCGCAGCCTTTAAAATGGCTTTTTGTAGGTAAAGACACGGTTCGTCGTCCTTTTTATCTTCGTACCGGTGACAACCAAACTGCCCAATAACATTTATGCGCCGACCATAGAATAAGAAACAGTCTGTCCCCTCTCGACCATTCACATAGACAAAACAAACAGCACAAGGCACAGGACGCAGTGGGGCATCCTCATCTTCGACCATTTCCTGTAAAGAATCATAAAGAGTTTCCTCAATAACTTCAAGAAATGTGTCAAGATCCTTCTCTGTATACGACGCTGGTGGTAGTTCCTTCATGTTATACTTTGGACTACGCATGAAATTGTAGCGCACACTTGGATCATTACGCATACGAACAAACTGCTTCCGCAATTCCTTGTTTTCATTACAAAAGTAACGACGAAGTAAAGGAATCAGTGCGATTTCATGCGACCCATAGCGAAGAGAGAAAAAAGTCGGACACGCATCGCGAGAGGGAACCCCGCCCATGCTGATAATAACACTGGTGGATGCTTCCTCGTCTTTGCCCTTTCCTTTTTTCCCTTTTGGCTACAGAAAAAAAAAAAAAAAGAATAGTCTACGCTTTGCCTGTCCCTGCCAAAAGATTAAAAAAAAAAGGCAAAAGAAGGCAAGAGAGAGAGAGAGGGGGAGGGAGGGGAAGTGTGCGAGACACAACAAGTGGAAACATCGCATCAATCATAAATGCATAAAAAAAAGGATTGGGAGGAGGAGAAGGCGACATGTAATGTAACGGAGGTAAACAGACAGCGAGAGAGAAGAGAAGAAAACAACAACAACAAACAAAGAAAGAAATAAAAAGAAATCCATAGAAAAATTGTCGTTACATTCGCCAAAAGAAGTACAAATGAAGAAAACAAACAAACAAACAACAACAAATAAATAAATAAAATAAATAAAATAAATAAAAAAAGAAAAAGAGAGACACGGCAGAGAAAGCAAAGGCAAATGCATATATATATGTAGATATATAAACAAATGCAGACATCCAGCACAAAGCACCACCAAACAAAAAAAACAAAAACAAAAACAAAAACAAAAAAGAACATATGGAAGGGGGGAAGATAAAATTCGGTCCCACCCGTACAAATAGCCGCACACTCCATTTATTGTAAATAATAATAACAAGAAAATATGAAAGGGGTTAGGGGAGGGAAGTAAGGAAGGAGGGGAAAGTGGATTTATAAAAGAAGAGCAGGTTGTGGCAGAGAGAGAGAGCATACAAAAAAAAAAAAAAAAAAAAAAAAAGGAAGAAGAAAAAAAAGGAGGAGAAGAAGGAGACGGGGTCCATTTGCCACTTACACCGCCTTCCTCCTGCCTTCACCGCAGTCGTCATCTTCCCGTTTTTGTTTTCGTTTTTACCCACTCAATGGATACATGTATGTATACATACATGCCGCTGCCCCCCTCTTCCCCAAACTTTCTCCACCCAACACAAAGTACTCAAGGCGCTCTCAAAAATGAGTCGTAAAAAGAGAGAGAGAGAGAAAATAAACCAAACATTAATTTTAATTCATTAAATAATAACAGATAAAATAATCAAACAAACTAACAAAAATCAACCTATGCAATTTCATTTCCCACCCCCCCAAATTCCCTCTTGTGCCCCCTTTCTCTCCTTCGGTGCGTGTGTGTGTGTGTGTGTGGACGAGATGAGGAGTGAAGAAGGAAGTGAAGGAAGCAGGCATGACGGTGGCGACACAAAATGTTGATCAAAAGCGAACAAACAAAAAAACCAACATCACCACAAATAAAAACACCTTTTTTTTTTTTTCCATTATTTATTATTATTATTATTATTATTCCTTCTTGTGTTTGCATGTGTTTTCTTTTTTTTTTTTTTTTTGCATAAAAACAACAACAACAACAACAACAAAACAAACAAACAAAAACAAAAAAAAATGTAAATTCGTCTTTTCTCCCTCTCCCTCTCTGCTTCCTTCCCTTTCTCCCTCTCTCTCTCTCTATATATATATATACATACATGTAACATTATATTATATTATGTTGTTGTTGTTGTTGTAGGCGCTGTGGCTTATGAAAGCCCGTTTCACCCACCCCCATCCCCCCTTTTGTTTTTCCCTTTTTTTTATTTTTTATTTTTTTTTTTTAATTTTCTTTTAATTTTGTTTTATTTTCGTCTTCACTTCTTTTCCTTCTGAAATTTTTGTTTCTTATTTATTTATTTATTTAATTTTTATTTTTATTTTTATTATTCAACGGCAATGCAAAAATGTCTCCGTGCACTTCAAAGACTTTTTTTTTCTTTTCTTTTTTTCTTTCCGTTTTTCGTTTCGGTTCCTTTTTTTTTTTTTTTTATACAAAATTTCTTTTATTATTATTATTTTTGTTTCCTCCGTTTTGAGTCCATTCCTCCTTCCGCAAGAAAATTTCACCCAAACCCGCACATACACGAAAAAAAAAAAAAAAAAAAAACTCCACACGCCACCGCTCTAAAAATGCATGAAACAGGCACCCGTGCAACTACACCCTCTTGGCTTGCATACACACACACACACACATAAATATAAATATATATAAATATACATGTGGATATATGTAGGGGCACGTTTCTCTCTCTCTCTCTCTCTCTATGTGTGTGTGTGCGTTTGCTGGCGTGTTTCTCCTCCCCTCCTTTTTTTTTTTTCTTCTGGTGTGTGTATGTGTGTTTGGGTGAAAGGCTGCAAATACACAGACGCACACACACATATTTATATATATGCAGACACAGAGGAAGAGAAAGCGAGGGATGCAGAAATACCCAAGGCAGAAACACAGTTCTCTTCCAGGCAAGCTCTCATGCTCGATTCATTGACGTCTCTGCCCTCGCTTTCGTAATTCCCCTTCTTGCATACACATTCTGGGCTCACGGTGATCATTGCATTGCCCATGCAAACGCCGACCACGGCAGCATCGCCATTTTAATAATGGGCATCACTTCCAATGTAGTTCTTTCTTATTCCGGTGGTGCTGGGGCTGTTGCTGGCGGCTGGGAGAACATGTATGAACTATAAGGAACTCCATACGTGGGAGGCTGTGCGAAGTACATTGGCGGGGCGGCGCCAGGTGGGTAGGCGGCGGTTGCGGTCGGGGCATGTGGCATCGCGGATGACTGAGCAATTGGACCACCAGGCAAGACATATAAAATCTGCTGCGGTGGCACACCAGGCGCAGCCGCCACACCGTAAGATGAAGTTGCAGGAGAGAGAACGTGCAGACCGGGAGGCGAAGAAAAGGGAGAGGCGCCTGGAAGAGTCGTCTGTGGCGAGGCGTATTGCAACTGCGGTCGGCTTCCGGGGAACATAAATTGCTGCTGCTGCTGCTGCTGCCGACCTGGCATGAGTGGAATTGGCGTTGCCGCGGCATTAAACGGCATAACGTTTGTTGGCCATCCGGGAGGCGCCCCCATAAACATCGTAGGCATATGCGACCAAAAATTCGCAGCAGTTGTAGCGGTACCGGATGTAGGCGGATACATCATCATTTGTTGGGCGGCAGCGAGTTGAGCTTGTTGTTGCAAGACCGATTGAGACCCCTTCAAAAGCCATTGTTTAAGTGTAGATGCAAGCAATGAGCCACCATACAGACGTTCATCTTCTTCCTCCTCCTCCAAAAACGCCCCACTGTCATGCCGTTCCTGCATTAATCGTTGACGTTCTTGTAGAAAATCAATGGTATTGCAGCGGATGTGTTGACCCTTAACAGAATCCACCCGCATTTTGTTCTCCACATATCGTAGCCACAATCCTAAAAACTTGTTGCTGAACGTCACTTCCAAACCGTACTCTCCGAGGTGATTTTCATACATGGAAAAATGTGGAGGCGCGGTTTCGTGCATACGGAGTTCTTTGATCATGTCTAACAGAGCATATTGGGAGTAAAACATACGTAACTCCCGGTAATTATTATGCTGCAGTACAATGCGTAGTTGTAAACGTTCCATATAATAGTCAAAGGAGGCCTCCACATCTCTATCCTCAGCAGGATAATAAAGGGCAGAACTATTCACAAATTGTTTTCGAAACGCTAAGGAAGCTAGAAGCACAACGGACTCTGTAAGGTACCCATGTGCCTCAACGTCGTCAAATATAACATCTAACACCACAGGAATAGATGGTTTTTTACTATCCCCTATACCTGTATGTGAGGAGTACACGCTAGTGCCTCCGCCACCAAGAGCCTGCGTCTTGGTAAAGGTGGCAGGGTTAATAAGATGCACTGGACGACCCAAGCAACATGAGATAAACCCCACAATTTGCAGACGATGTCCCTTGATAATTAATACATTGCCGCTATTCGCCGCAAGGGTTTGTTGTGCCCGGTTCAAATGTGAATGCGATTTTGAAGTGGCTGACGAAGACTCATTACTAGGGTTGATGGGGTCCAATATACAAACAGCAAACGGCACTGGACGCAACAGTGGAACTGGACAAGAGTGCGATGTGGATTGCTGACTGGCTTGCTGTTGATAGTGATGAGGGGCATTCATTTCCGTTGCTGAGCCCGCTGCTGACGCTGATGGCAAATCTGGTGTGGTTAACTTCTTCTTTATACGCGGCTTATCCTCAAGCAAGGCATCACTGCTTATGATGGCGTCCTTCACCTTGACGAGAAAAAATGGATCGTTGAAGGCAATGATGCAGTCCACAATAGGACCCCCGCTCGTTGTCTCTGCACGCCTCGAATTTGCGCTCGCCGTCGCACTTCCGGGTGTCGTCGTCCCTGACGGTGCCGCTGCTGCTGGGGGTGGGTCGGTCCCCCTGCGCGACAGAATGTCGTTTAGTTTCCGCTTGGCCTTCTTGTGCGTGTCATTGAAGAAACGCGGCAGCAGAGGCACGAGGCAGACCTCAACTTGGGTCTCCGTGGAGGGCCGAGGCACAAACGTCGTATAAAACAACTCTGGAGTGTCGTGCGACGGGAAAGCGCCCATGTTCTCGCTCTAAATGGCTTTGCACCACAAGGACGAGAGAATACACACACACTGTCCCGCACCCCACAAAAAAAAAAAAAAATAATATTCACAATGAAGTCCAAAGGCTTCTCTCCCTCCCCGTTTCACTAAACCGATAGGCGCTGTGTCTTCTTCCTCTCGTGTCCCTGTGCAATTTGTGTGTGTGTGTACGTATGAGAGAGTCCTCAAGTTATGCCACCTCACCCCCCCTTGCCTTTCCTTTCCTTTTTTTTTTTAATATTTTGTGAGATCCGCTGCTGTGAGTTTTTGTTGGCTTCGTTCCCCCCTTCAGCAAAACCTCGCCAGTGACCCACTCCTTGCAACGGTCGGTCCCTCCTTTTTTAAAAACAAAAAGTTATCTTCTCTCGCCGTATCCCTCACCCTCGTGTGTGTGTTTCCCCTCGCCTGCCTGTTGCTTCGAAAGAAAAACACTTGCGTCTCCGTTAGTGTTGTTTCCTCTCTCTCCAATTTTATTTTATTTTATTTTTTTTTTCGGTGTTTCCCCCCCCACCCCCACCCCCCTTTCCCTCTTTCTTAAAAGTTCAAATATATATATTTTTAAATTTTATTGGATTTGACTGTGCGTGCCGCCTGCCGCCTGCCGCCACAACCACCACCGCTTTTTCTTTTTTCCCCCCTCCTCCCCTTTCGGCTCCTGCTGTTGGACTGCTGAGTGTATTTCGTTCTCCCCTCCCCTCCCTTCTCTTCTCTTCTCTTCTCCCTCTTTTGGGTTCGGTGTGTTGCCCCTCCTCAACTCGGGGTTTTTTTTTTTCTTTTTTTCTTTCTTTCGTTCCTTTTCGTTCCCTGTTGAGCGACACAACCAACAACGAAAAACAGAAGCAAAAACAGAGATAAAACCGCAGCAAATAAAAAAACAAAACAAAAAAACAAATAGCACTCAACAAAAAGAGAAAAAAAAAAAAAAAAGAAAAACAACAATAACCCTCTTTCTATCTGTCTGTATCTGTGTGTTTCTGTGCCTGTGCCTGTGTGTGTGTATGTGTGTGTTTGGGGACACTTTCCCCTTCCTCGACCCGCCGCACAACAACAACAAAAACAAGAAAAAAAAAAAAAAAACAGAAGAGAAGAAACAAAAACCGGTTAAATTCTCAGCAATCAAGTAAATTACATTTATACATACATATTATATACGCACATTTACACGTATGTCTCCGCATCTCCTTGTCATGTGTACAAGGAGAAGGAAAGACGAGTCATGGTAGGGGGCGGATGACAAAAAATCAGAATAAAGAAAAGAAAAAAATAAATAAATAAAATACAATATTAAATAACAAATGTTTCTTGAGCCCGTGTGACGCATCCTCATTTACTTCGCTTTCCCTCTCTTTTTTTTTTCTTTTTCTCTCTCTCTCTCTCTTTCTCCCTCGTCCACGCTCTCTCAACCACACCTTCTCATCCCGTAATACCTGCAGTCAAGAAGAGAGCGGACACAACCAAACAGAAGCAGCGAGGGACATAAAATGTATGTGTTGCACATTATGCCATCTCTCACACGATCTATGCATCCGTACAACGAGCAGCAAAAATTCCCGGGATTTTCTTCTTCTTATGGTGTTTCACCACTTCCCCGCCCCCCCCCAAAAAAAAGAGAGAGTGAGAAAGTAAAAAAGAGACGCCAAAGAAGCGCGAAGCGACAAAGAAGAGCAACGAGCGGAAATGAATTGTAGGAAATGCCTGCCACTCAGTTCCAGAAGGATGCGTCTTTTCGCATCTTCGTCAACACACGCTCCCGCCAGCGGCTCACAAAGGAGGCGGGGAGATACACTGTTTCTTCCGACTGCGCGTCCGTTGGATCCGCAGACAAAACCCGGCCGTATGACATGACAAAATTAAATAAATCTTCCACAATACGCTCTGCCATTGCCAGCCTTGTCGCTGCTTGTTCTTGCTGCAGCGGCTGCTCCTGCGTTGCGCCCAGGTTCGCCACATCTTCCTCCTTCTCTTGGCTGATACCAATCAACAGCCGCACCGGGAAGTCGACGTTCAATAATACCGGCGGCACACGCAAGATAGTGCTAGGCCGCATATTTGACAGGTGACCCACATACAAAAAGGCACCATCATCCTCGCGGGCAAGATAGATACCAAGACAAATGCCGGGCGCAAGAGGCGCTGGTGATGTGAGAAAGACCACGATAGACTCCGGGGCGTTGCCTAAAGGTGCAATCCAACGAACACCGTCCAGGCAATTGAATTCTGTTACGAGGGGAAGGCCGGGTAAAATCGCTGCAAACGGCGGCAAAACATTCGGCGCAACGGCCATTTTCCGCTTGTTATTTTTATTCCCACTCCCACACCCACTCTCTGTCTGTCTGTGTGCTTTTTTTTTTCTTCTCCCAACGGCAACGGCGTGCCGATATGTTTTTTGTTAAAAGGGGGATGGGGAAGGAGAAAAAAAAAAAAAAAAAGGAAGTCACACTATAACTGTGGGAGTGTGCGCCAGGCGTAATACTGCAAGAGCTCCGCGGCGCAGGATCCTCTCGTAAGGGTCCGCCCACACCTCACCACTTTTCCTCCTCTTCTCTTCGCCAAACAGCCAGTGGGCATAAAACAAACAAAAAAAAAAAATAAGAAGAAAAATAAAGATTGAAGCCGCAGATAAAGACAGGAAAAAAAAAAAAAAACACACACGCACACACTCACAAAACAAAAAATTCATGTCCTCCATAATCAGCATCCAGCCACATCCCACAACTTTAAACTCCAAGTATCGTTGCCACTACTATTCCTGTCCTTCTTTTCTTCCCCCACCTCCTCCGTCTTCCGTGCCATGCCATCCCCACGCCACGTTCACCGCCCCACCCTCCGTCACATATGGTTTCGTCTGCACGAATGCGGGGTCAAACTGTTGAATCTGCGCCACGTTAGAGATGAGAATACTCTGTAACGCCAAAATTTTATCGTCTAATGCCCTTCGACGATTTTCATCCTCCTCGCGGCGCAACTTTTCTGCCTCCACCGCCTCAAGAGACTCCTTTTCCTTCTTGCGTACCTCATCCGCGCGGACCATCTCCTGCACCTCCCGGACACGGCTTTGATGAATGTAATAATAATACAAATTGTTTGTCTGATTCTTCTCTGCGTAGACCCACCGCTGCAGCTTGGCAATCTTCAGCACCAGGCGAAGATGCTTTGCGGAGTCGAGAGGGACGTCATCGTGCTCCTTGCACACGGACCATAGATCTACAAGCCGTATGGGTTGGGGAAGAAAAGAAGTTTCATGACGTAATTACGCGGTATCTCGCCCAGGTCACGAGGAATCGCCTTGATGTTATTCTGCACAAGGGGCTTTTTAAAAAGCTCGCGAATATTTGAGTTGAAGGCACGGTGATTGGCGCACCGCAGCATGGTCACCTCACTGCGGTAAGGGATGGTGAGGCGGTACTCTTTGCCTGGCCGCAACCCATGCGGGCCTTTGGGGCGATTCATAAGACAAAATGACCGGCGCAACATGACGTGGGACGCGTTTCCTGCAGCCACCACAGTCCTAAAAGAGGAGTGAGAAGACCCCCTGCACAGAGAGAAGGGAGAGAGAGAGAGAGACGAGGAAACCGGTGCAAAATCGTCTCACACAGGGGGGGAGGTGTGCTCGCCTACTGATGGACACCGTCACAGCCAAAAAGTGCATGCATCATGGCATTGCAACAATCAAACCACGGATAGAAAAACAAACAAACAAAAACAAAGAAAAAAGAAAAAGACATGTGAGATAAAATGGCTTTCACCAAATAACATACTGCCAACACGAGCAGCAACAGCAACGGCGGTACGCGCGTAAAAACAGCGATGCCAAACGACCAAATAAACTTCCACTTATGAAGAATGATAGACGAGGCAGAAACGGCAATCGATTGCCTTCCCCTCCCGGCCAGAAGTCATCGTTGTAGAGTCATTTTCCGCAAAACCCACAGTATAGTGGCAGACAAACTCATCACACATTACAGCCATGTCCATATAATGAAATGATTTCTACCAATTCTCCATTCCCATCACCTCCAATTTTCTTTTTATTCTTCTTGTCCCCATGCCTCCTACTGTGCACTACGGTCTATCTGGAAAGAGAGAGAGAGAAAAAACAAAAACAAGAAATCAAAAAAAAAAAAAAAAAAAACTATCCGGCCCTTTCCATTCAAGTAAACATATATATATATATATATATATATATATATATATATATATATATATATATATATATATATATATATATGCAGCTGTAGTGCCATACACAAATAGTAAGTAATTCATTCATTCATTCATTCAACAACAAAAACAACAAGCAGAAAGAATGAAAGAAGCACAGACGCAAAATGAATATTGCTCTCTATTTCCAGATGAGACCCGCAACTTCTTTCCTCCTGTCCTGTCCTGTCACTTCGCACTTTGCCATCCAACGGAGCAACGCATTACTCATCCGCCCATACAAATCCTCCATTCTTGCCTCACTTTTTCTACTTCTCATGACTCTATCTATTTTCAAATCAATCAGTCTTCTGATGCGACAAACCGTACGTCAACATCCGCGTCTTTTCGCAACCGACTTATAAGCGGCTCAGTGTCACTATCTAACAGTCGTCTGCCCTTTTTCAGCGCCAAAAGTGCCTTGGCACAGTTAAGACGCACATTCGGCACACTGTCTTGAGCAAATAGACGCAATATGGGAAGAATGTGTTGTGAGGCGGTGCCGCAGTCCAGGCTTTGGATACTCGCCAGTGATGCATAAAAGTGTGCGAGTGCAACGCGGTGAAGATAGTTGTTTGTGGACGCCATAGAACTAAGCCGAGGGAAAAGCGATGCTCGTGACCATGCCGTCCCATTCTCCGCCACCAGCGTACAGCAGGATCGCACCGCCGCTTCGCGAATAGTCGCCACACGGTCGACAAGGTGCTGCACACAGAGCTCCACCACATCTTCTGCGTTTTTGCCTAACGAGGTGATGAGAAACGGAACCTGTGATATAACGACTTCACGAATACGCCAATTCGGATCCCCCGCAAGTGCCACAACAACGGGAACGAGTTTGGGTGCCATTTCTCTCGCCTCGGGGGTATTTCCCATGGAAC